GGTTTAGGCAGCGAGGTAGTTAACGGAATGGGGTTTTTATAAGGTTTGGGTGGTGAGGTGGTTAACGGAATGGGGTTTTTATAAGGTTTAGGCAGTGAGGTGGTTAGCAGATTGGGTTTTTCATCACGGAGAAGTAGTTTCCAAAGCCAGAGCCGTCCACCCCTTTGCTGAGGAAGCACGTGCTCTCTGTCCGCAGCTCTCCCCGAAGAAGACCTGGGAAGGCTTCATTGGGGGCTTCTTCGCCACTGTGGTGTTTGGCCTCCTGGTAGGTGGTGGTGCGCAGCCCGGGGGCGGGAGGAGGCAGGGGCCTTACTCCCACCATCCATGGCAGCTCAGGAAGTCTGCCCTGTTGAATTGGTGACCATGCATGTGCTGAAGAGGGGCCAGAGTCACCAGCTTTCACATGAGAGGGCAGGGCACCAGGGGAGCTGGGGCCATGTGGACCTCACATTCCCTCATGCCTTGGTGTAGGGCACAGAGTATGGGGTGAAGTGTGGACCCAGCTATCCAACCAAACCTCACCCCCACCCCCACCCCATACACCCTTCCCCAAAGGGGTGACCCTGAAGGCCCACGGGGTGCACAGTTCAGGGCTCTCGGAACCACCTCCTCACTTTCATTGCTCCTCAGCCACCTTCCTCCTAGCCCCCACTGTCACGCCCACCCTCTCCAGACATAAGGCTAGGATGGGTCGGCCAATTTTTGAGACCAAAGAGCCAGTCCTGTCCCTCACAGCAATTTAAAAATTGTCTGAGAGCCATAAATGCATATTTTTACAGCAAATGAAATCACCACTCTCTGAGTAGTATCCTTTCACAGTTTTCAGTTGTACTTCGGTGCCGCAGGTACGCACCGAAAAAGCCTTACCTGACTCTCGAGCTGCAGTTGGCCGCCCCCTGGCTAAGAGAACCTGTGGGGAATTGGGGAGAAGCGGACTGTGGCTCCACTCCCCACCATCAGGGGGAATCTGCTCGTGGTCCTTTGGCTAAATCCCTCAGGTCTTTTCCCCAATTCTTTCAGGACCCGGGCGCGTAGGCAAGGATGTGTCTGAACATTAAAGATATTTATAAAGTGAGGCGAAATATGCACGCAGTGAATCCTGGCTCTCTGATCTGACACACGGCTGGCAGGGAGGGGAGGGGAACCCCAAACACAGTGCCTGCCTGGCCGGGCGGCTCCAGCATGCTCCCCTCTGCTCCCCGTTCCCAGCTCTCCTATGTGATGTCGGGGTACCGATGCTTCGTGTGCCCCGTGGAGTACAGCAACGACACCAACAGCTTCACCGTGGACTGCGAGCCCTCGGACCTGTTCCGGCTGCAGGAGTACACCATTCCTGGGGTGGTGCAGTCGGCCCTTGGCTGGGTATGTGCACGGGGAGCGCAGCTCGTCGCCTCTGTTGGGTGGTGACTCAAAGCAACGTCCTCCCAGAAACAAGACAGAAACAGCCACACCTGGCTGCCTCTGTCTCCCAGGCGGCAGACTGAGACCCAGGAGGCAGGGCCATTGTTCGGTCCATTTGCTCCAGACCGCAGCCTTCAGACCGGTGGCTGTCTGTGCTGCGTCCTTGCTTCGGGGCTGCAAAGGCTGCATTTTCACCCGCTCCCACGACATTATGGAGCTTCTCATTGCTGGCATTTGCCGCGGTGGCCTGGCAGCTGCGGCGGGCAGCGCTGTTGGTCCCCTAGGGCGAATCAAGGTTGTGGCATCGGTTGCGCTAGAAGTGACTGGATTCCTCAGGCCTCACACGCACACACACAAGGACAAAAACACAACATAACTCTGTGTGGCTTAAGAATGCCTTTGATGGGACAGTAAAATCATCACTTGCGTTAGGTCTTGACCCGAGAGCACGTGTCTTGAATGCCGTCGCACAGAGTGGAACGAAGGCAGGCCGAGCAGCCTGCGGAAAGCCTGCTGTCCCCAAGCACACGCCGGCCTGAGGGGAAGGCCTGGGCGCTGTTTCCACTGTGAGCCGAGCCCCGTTCCTTTGCCCCGCGAGGAGCCGTTTTACCTTGAAAAGACCCGGCCCGCACAGGCACTCGTTCAGCCTGCGTGGTTGGTAGAACTGCTCTGCAAACGAACAGAGCAAGCCTGTCGCTTGAAGGAAACCCCTGACAGTAACTGTTGTCAGTCATGGATTTGGCTTTCCAGTGAACCTCAAAGTTTTAAAAACACCCATCTGTTGCTGTGGGCTGACGGCTTTCCCACGGGGTGGACGGGGCCTTCAGAAAGTTCAGGGAAGATGGGAGGCAAAGGTAATGGCAATTTCCCACGAACTTTAAAAAGCCCCTTTGTACCTTGCCTAAGCAGCTCTGGTAGCATCGTGCCCTGTGGGTTGAACTGCTAACCTCAAAGTGGAGGGTTCAAACCCGCCAGCCGCCCCACGGGAGAGGGCCGAGGCTGTGTGTTTCTACAAAACTCTACCGCCTCAGAAACCCAAGGGGGCGGGGGGTTCTCCTCTGCCCTAAAGGGACACTCCGATTCGGAATGGTCTCGGCGGTGGGTCTGCTTCGTTGTGTACATGCACTTTGCTGGTGAGGTCTATGGGGAGGTGATCATTTTTGAGGTTTACATGTGTCTGTATTGAGGTCACTCTGTGCTGGCGTGGTATTCCACAGTCATACATGAGTAAAAGATACCCCGCCCCCCAGTGCTGAATAACGCCACGGCATTTCACGTAGCAGATTGTGAAAGGCTCATAGCGTTTCAGATTCATATTGTACATACCTAATGTTGAGGTCCATGGGTGTCCCAGAAGGAGGAGGCATCCACAGCCACCTGAAAAGACTATGGAGATGCTCTTTTTGTTAACCCCCAACTACAGCACCTGTGGAAGGCTAGCCTGTCTTTAGCCAAAGGAGCATATCACCAGGTTGAATGCAGGAGAGCTTTGGGTCTTCAGGTAATAAGCCAGACTTTCGAGATTTACAAAAACGGGGTGGGAGTCGTGGTGACTCAGTATTTGTATGTGAAAATGAAGTTACTTTCACAAGTGATTGGTGGAACCACATACCGTATATACTCGAGTAGAAGCCGACCCGAATATCAGCCAAGGCACCCAGTTTTACCATGAAAACTACGTTAAAAATGTGCTGAAAAACTCGGCTTATACACAAGTCTATACGGTAACCAGGCTGGGCTGTGGACCTCTAACCTTTGCTTGATTGTCTTCTCTCAGAAAACGGTGCAGATGTACCCCTTCCAGATTCACAGCATTGCCCTGTCCACCTTCGCCTCGCTCATCGGCCCCTTTGGAGGGTTCTTCGCAAGTGGATTCAAACGAGCCTTTAAGATCAAAGTAGGAAACCCTTCCCTTCTGTTTTTCTCAGTGTCTCCCGCAGTCTTCACCCATCTCCTGCCCTTCCCACCAGGGTTACCCCCTTCCACCACAGCTTCCACATACTGAATTTAGATGGCTTAAGTCAAATCACATTGTTCCCGAGAAATTGCTGTAACTGGATTCTCAGGTATCCGTCTGCCTAGCCTTCTTTAAAAGAAGGTTCTGCATTTGAGCAAGATTGTGCCTGCCCTGTTGGATAGCTTCAGCACTCAGCCAGTGTTAGTTCTCCCTCTCCGTTGACCTCAGCCACTCTGTTCAGGAACTGGACACTGGGGTGGGTCTGGCTGGCTGGGTGTGGTCATTGGTAACCGAGTCCAGGCTCATCCCACCGCCCTTCCCCTGCCTCCCACAGGATTTTGCCAACACCATCCCGGGCCACGGCGGCATCATGGATCGCTTTGACTGCCAGTACCTGATGGCCACCTTCGTCAACGTCTACATCGCCAGTTTCATCAGGTGCGGTGCCTCTCCCTCTGAACTGTGGGGGCGGAGTTTCAAGTACGGTGGAATCCGGGAATTTTAGCGGCACCTAAGCTCAAGTGAGAAACACCTCAAATAGGCAGGCAGGTTTCACTGGTGTCTTGCGTGGCTCCTCTGCAGCCCCACTGGCCTGCCACTGCTTCAGGCCATCCCGTGGGTGGAGCAGCCATGGGGGCCTCGGGCCTAGAGGGAGCAGTGCTCCGTCTCAGTGCCCTTCCTGTGCCTTCTGTTGCAGGGGCCCTAATCCGAGCAAGCTGATCCAGCAGTTCCTGACCCTGCGGCCAGACCAGCAGCTGCACATCTTTAACACCCTCAAGTCTCACCTGACCGACAAGGGCATGCTGACAGCCTACTCGGAGGACGAGTAGCGACCTCTGGGCAGCGGGCCGGCAGGGAGAGCTAGATCAGCACTGAGCGAGGGGCAGGCCTCGGGAGGGCCCAGCTGGTGTGTGGCTCGGACAATGACAAGGCTTGAACTCACTATTTTTACTTCTATTTTTTGGTAGTGTTTTTTTTATTTTTTTATTGTGGGCTTTGAAAACCAGAAATCTGTACATAGAGGCTTACGTGTTTATGATTTGAATGGTGAGTAAACAACAGCTTTGAGTTGGAAAGAAGTCACAGGTGTAAAGCCACTGGGTTTTTTTTTTTTTTTAAACAAAAGTGTTTCGCCCTCTGGAAGACAGTATTGTCCTGCTGGAGGGCCTCTGCGTGGTGTGCCCAGCCCCTGTCCCTGGTGGGGCTCTTGGTGGACAGGGGTCAGAGAGCAATGGACAGTGTCTGCCAGACCCCAGGGGCTCCCAGCTCAGCATCTCTCAGCTGGCCCACCCGCCTGCTGTGGGGGCGCAGGCCCGGAGCATGGCTCTAGTCATTCTGCCTCGGACCTCTGAGAGGTGGGCAGCCTTCCGCTCTGCTGAGGGGACACAGGCTGAGGAGTCACGGGAGCGTTTCACCCACAGCAGAGTCCCGCGGAGTGTGAGCTCTGCTTTCTACAACATGATTTCACATTTCTTCCTCCCAGGCTGCAAGAAGGCCTCCGTTTCTAATTTTTTAAGAAAGCACGGAAACTTATACTAGTCGGGGGGTTGGAGGCACCGCGCTGTCATATGTCACATGCCTGCAGTAGAGTGGATTGTAACTGAGCCCGTTCCCCCAGAGCCTAGCCTCCCTGTCCTTCTGGAGCAGTCCAGCTGGCTGCCTGTCTGGAAGTGGCCGCTGTTGGCTGGGGTTGAGGGCGCCTCCGCCTTCCTCAGTAGGCAAGGGGAGAGGGAATGGGCTCTAGTGCCGCAGGCTCCCCTCTGGGTCCTCTGCCCCTGTAGCTGCTGTGTTGTGTTGAGGCCGTTCAGGTGAGTGTGCGTCTGGGTCTGCAGAGGCGCCGGTCTACGGTGAGTTCAGTTGTGCTGTGGCTGGACTGAAAGCCCAGGCGCCGGCTGAAGACCGGGCCCGAGGAGAGGCGCGGCCGTCCCACGATCAGACACAGACTCTTCTTATCATGTGACCGGTTTAAGTTTAGCATGACTCTCTGGGGGTCCTCTTTTCTTCTACAACTGTGAGCTCGGTTTTTCCTCCCCCAACTGTAAGTCCCCAACGGGGACCCTGCTGTGCACAGCGCTGCGGCTGTTCTCATGGCCTGCCGAGAGCGTGAGCTTTGCCGCAGCACCTTGTCCGCAGGCTGTATTTTTGTTTGCTTTATTCGTATTACTTTTTATTCAGCCGTCCAGAGGGGCACCGTGGTGATGCTGAACACAGGTCCCCGTGTGAACGCCCACATGCTTGTGGGGGCTAAAGCCACGGCTTCGGCCCCACTTTTACCTCCACTTGAGTGGTGTGGCTTGGCTTTCTTTTCTCTTCAGAAGGTTCAAGGTCTTCCTAAAAACAAAACCTGCCATCACAAGGGGTCTCGGTCCTGCCTGAGTGGCCCTGGGCGACGACCCTGGGCCATCCTCTGATTCCTCTCTCCTGGCATGCCGGTTGAGCAGGCTCCTTTGAGAATTGAGCGCTGTCCTGGGCACTTGGGGAGACACAGCAAGCCCCAGGAGGCGTGCATCCAGCCCAGGGCTTTTCCCAGTGCCTGTCTGGAAGTGGAGTCAGTATGGCAGCGGCACAGCCTGACCAGGGAGGGCGAGTGGTGGCCCGGAGGAGCGGTCAGTCTGTCTGGGGAAAGAACAGGCCCCTGGCTGGATTACAAGGGCGGCCTCTGCGCAGGTTGCCCACGTGGAAATTGGGGAGATTCGGAGACCCACTCTTGAGGCCAGCACCATTTGGGATCCAGGAGAGTGAGGGGGGGTGGCTGGGGTCCTGAGAAGCTGAAGCTGGAGAGTGTCGATGAGTATCTGAAACCAGGGGGTTGGCTGGGGTCGGGTCTATTTTCTACTGGTTTCCCAGGGGTCCGGCAGCCTGGGAACACTGCCCTCTCGTGTCTGGGTAGCATGTGGCCGGGGGCTCCCATTCCCTCTGTGGTTCTCTTTAAAAATGGCACCCTCAGACACAATGGAGAGACTGATGTATCTCATACCCTGCCAGCCCTAGGCGGGTGCACGCTTTGCTCCCGAATCCTGTCCTTTCCCGCCCCTGGGAATAAACGGAAACCCTTGAAGTGCGCTGTTCTGTGTGCGTCCTCCCTCGAGGTGAAGCCGCTGCCAGCCACTTCCTGGCATGGGTCACGTTGTCACTCGTTCACGCCTTGGTAGATCCTATGTTGTCCTGCGTGAGAGGCTTTCTGCACGTTCTTTCAAGTTTCTGCTCTACACATCCTCACACAGCCTTCTGAGGACCCCAGGCGGGTGTCATGAGCCCCTTGCTGCGTGGAAGTGCAGGGAGCCCCGCAGGCTGACTCCCCAGCTCGTGGTTGCCCGGCAGGGCAGGGACAATGGGGTGAGTGAGCCTGAGTTGGCAGCGTTCCCTCCTGCCCGACAGCTCCCTAGTGAGAGCCAAGGGTGAGCTAGCGGGGTTGCCCTCCCAGCGAGTTCAGTTGGGACAGCCGGGGCTCCAGATCCTCCCCGCCAGTGCCCCCTGTGCCCCCGCAGGTGCACCCCTCTGTTCTGCTCCTGGAATGGAGACACCCCTCCCCCCCAGGCAGCATAGGACTTCGTTAGGCCTCCTTCTCTTTAAGGTCCGTGTCCTGGGCATTCCAGAGCAGCTGCAGTGGACCCCCATGTAAGCCTGCACTTCCGGTTCATGTGTACAGTTCTCTAGGGTGTATTTGAAACTAGCCTCCCTCTTGAGAAGGGGTGACATGTAGTTTCAGCATACACAGGGGGACTTTAGGAACCTCTTTATGATTTTTTTTTCTCACTGAACTGCTCCGCCCCCGCCCCCCTCCTCCCTCCCGGATCCTTTATCTTGACTTAATTTAGGTAGGGAAATCCCAAGGTGTTTTCTAAGGAGACCAAATGGACCCTGTGGTCTGAATCTAACCGACTTGCCTCATGTTTTCTAATGGATCCTTGAGTACAGATCTTCAGGATGGTGGTGAGGTCCCAGCAGGCTCGGGACCCTCCCCGCTGCGGACAGAGAGGTGTGTGTGTGTGTAGAGGCTCTGCGGTATGTGAAGTAGTGGTAGTGTGTGTGTATGTAGAGGCTCTGTGGTATGTGAAGCAGTGGTAGAGGTGTGTGTATGTAGAGGCTCTGTGGTATGTGAAGCAGTGGTAGTGTGTGTGTGTGTGTGTGTGTGTGAGAGAGAGAGAGAGAGAGAGAGAGCGAGCAAGCGAGCGAGCGCCGAGGCTCTGTAGTATGAGAAGCAGTGGTACATTCATACGAAGCCAGCCCACAGTGGGTTCCTGAGAGAGCAGATTTTCATCACTGCATATCTGTTGATCCATCGTTGCCTGGCCCTCTTCCCGGTTCAGTGGTAGTGAAACATCGCATCTCCTGGGTTCTAGCTCCGGAGAGGAGGTGGTGGTGGTGGTGGTGAGGGAGCATGTCTAGGTGACTGTCAAGGGCACATTGCAGGACACACCTGAGCAGACTCTCAGTGGGTTGGACTCAGGGAGCACGGGACACCGGGTAGCCAGTGCGCACACCGCCAGGCCTTTGAAGGAGGGGGGCTGGTTCACGGAAGAGCCTCAGTCTCCCCTCTTCTTGGTCAGAACCTGCCATACAGTTGCCCGGCTTGACATTCTTCAAGGGATCAAAAGCTTTCTTGACTCATTTTCCCCTGTGGGGTGGGTGTTGTGATTTGGAACCTAGTGGTGATGAAGGATCCTTATTCAAGAGCTCTTTTAGGCCCACGTCCTCCTGGTCCTGACCCATCCTTGCCCACATCCTCCCAGAAGGGGCCCTTTCTCTGGGGTCTCTGCTGGCTGCATGCTGTGCTTCCATTTGAGCGCCCTCGCCATCTCCCCACCCCCACCAAGTTGACCTGCAAGAACTTCACTTACCAGGGTAGAGAGGCCAGGTCTTGTCTGAAGACGTCTTTCAGTGGGGTGGTAGCCTAGAACTACTGACCTGGCTGTGGCTTTAGTCTTAATGGGGACCAGGCTCACTGTCCCCTGCGATAAATAAGTGACGCTGTGACTCTGGCTTGAATCTGGGGAGATGGGCTCAGAGATGATGCTGACCCCAAGCTTGAACTGTTAGGTTTAATACCTTCCTAACCAGGGGAGAACACCACCATGGGAGAGGGGCGCTGCACTCAGCAAGCCCATGTGTGGCCTCGTAGCAAGCCAGGCGCTCTGTGGTCTGGGCACAGCTGCCGGCATGCTCCCTCCCTTCAGCCCCCTCAAGAATCGCGTCCAAGCAAGCGTTTCCTCCAATGTTAAGACTCCTCCTCTGAGACATTAGAGCCTTTGAAGGTCAGGCAGCTGTGGGTGCACGCTCCTGCCACTGTCCCGTGTGACCCTGCCCAGACCCCTGTGTGATGGGCAAAGCCCCTGCTCTCCCTGGTCAGCTTGTTGCACCCCCTTGTCATGGATGGCAAGTGGAATTTCCTGGTGGGATGATGTCGGCAGTCAATTTTCTCGCTGCCCTTGGATGTGAGTGACCTGCGGTAGCTCTCGGGGTTGTGTGGGGCCCAGGTGGTGGCTCTTGAGGTCTCCCTAGAGAGGTGTGTCCTTGCGTCCTCCTGCTGATTTGCCCAGCCCACCGCCCGCTCACTTGTGCTTTCTGCCATGGTTCACCTCTCTCTGTGCCCTGTCAATCAGTGTTAAACAGGCCGTGCAGATCCTTCGTAAATGCCATGTTGGAACGTGATCTATACTGTACATTAGAAGATATTTACCTTATTTATATACCTAAATGTTGCTATCCTACACAAATAAACATATATTAGATTCTAGCTTGTGTTTGTGTGGTTTCTGATTCAGGCAAGTGCCTTTTGAAGGCTCAAGTGTAGAAGGGGCATGCCACATTGGCAGCATTGCCTCTCAGCTTTGTCTTTGCAGGCCCCATCCCCCACCACCACCCGCTTTGCTCCCCCCCGGGGGTAGGCTCTGCCCTGGACCTTCCCAACCTGCTCCTCTCCCTTGTCTTAGGCGCCTCTCTGTGTGTCTCGTGTACTGTCCCTTTGGATGGTGGGATTCCATTTGAGGTTCCCCATCCCCGTTTTGTCCCCTGGGTCTCTCATCCATTCTCAGTGCTTGGGTGATCATTACTCAAGGGATTCTCAGGTATGTGTGTCCAGCAGAGATGGGTTGCCTGCCCGGTCTCTTCCAACTTTGCAAGATGAAAACCCAAACCCATGCTTGTGACGTAAGCCAGATCCAAACCCAAACCACACTTATTGCTGTGGAGTAGATTCTTACTCAGTGTGTGTTAGTCTGGGTAGACCAGAGAAACAAGTTCATAGAGACTCGTGTATAAGAAAGAGCTTTATATAAAGAATAATCGTTTATTGTGAAAACAGCCCAGCCCAGTCCCAGATCAAGTCTGTAAGTCCAATATTAGCCATATGTCTGATACCAGTCTATACATTTCTCTTCAGACTCACGCAACATGTAATGATGCCGAATGCAGGAAGATCATGGGCCAGTGGGTGGAAAGTCTTATAGAACCAGTGGTGGTAGAAGCATCTCAGTGCTGGCATGGGTCCCCACGTAGCTCTTCCACTCTAGAGCTCTGGCTGCATCAGCGTAGCTCCACATGTCTTGTCAGCAGGGAGAGGAAGCAGAGAGTCTGTGTGTATCTGGCCTCCAGTGAGCTATTTATCTCCTTGGCGCCTCCAAATGAGGTAATCAAACTTCGACTTGACAGGCTAGACTCCACCCCTTCGCAAGTTGACACCAGATTATGTAACTGCCACCCATAGTGAACCCTATACAGGGTTTCCAAGGCCTTCAGTCTTTACAGCTGGAGCAGACAGCCTCGTCTTTGTCCCTTGGAGTAGCTAGTGGGATTGAAGTGCTGACCTTGTAGTTAGTAGTACAGTATCTACCCAACAGGTAACCTGGTGCTGTTTAAACCCTTGATCTGTCTGCCACACAAGTTAGCACCTGGGAATGATCTCATCCATTCCCCTGGCCTGCCACCTACCTACCTACCTTCTAATTGTTCTTCATGCCCATCCTCACTGCCAGTTCTTGGCCCAGACCTTCCTTAGCTGCCCTGCGATCCTGGCTGCCTCTACCATTACGTTGGAACAAGATTAATGTGGTAAAACCAAGACCATAATAGTGAGGGGTGGAAATATTCAAGAACTAGAGGATAGTTACGTGTTTCATCAGTGCTGTACTGAACCTAGATATATCATCCCTTCTGTGAGGGGCTGTCCAATTATCTTACAGGTGGATTTGGGGTCTCCACTTTGTCCACATTGCTTCACGTCAATTTGATTGCTTGTTTTCGAACTAATGATACCTATTCCCATAGACACCTCACTGATACCTATTCCCATAGACACCTCACTGATACCTATTCCCATAGACACCTCATGATCACACAGGCTGGTGTGTTTCTTCCATGTGGGCTTTGTTGCTTCCCTGCTAGATGGCCACTTGTTTAACTTTAAGCCTTTAAGACAAGGGTCTTCAAACTTTTTAAACAGGGGGCCAGTTCATTGTCCCTCAGACTGTTGGAGGGCCGGACTATAGTTTAAAAAACAAACAAACTATGAACAAATTCCTATGCACACTGCACATATCTTATTTTGAAGTAAAAAAACAAATGGGGCAAAAACACCCAGCATGCCGGATAAATGTCCTCGGCAGGCCACATGTGGCCTGCAGGCCGTAGTTTGAGGATGCCTGCTTTAAGACCCCACACACTATGTCTTTTAATAGCCAGGCACCATCAGCTTCACCATATTTGTACCCATTTTGTCTTCAGCGATCATGTCAGGAAGGTGAGTATCATGCATTTCCACAGTATTAGAACAAACCATTCTTCTACTGAGGTAAGACTTAAGTAGAGGCCCAAAGTCCATCTGCTTCCTTGTATTTGCATATATGTGTATTTATACATTGGCAAATAGATGTATCTTTATATATTTAAATATATACATATCTATATTTGTACCTTTATATATACTTTTTACTTTCTTGCTCTTTTCTCCTGCCCTGCTATTAGGTTAACCCATTGTTCACTAATCAGTAATTCCCCTCGGATACATTTCAATTGCTCAAACATGACCAGGAATGCTACAGCCTCCTCACTCCCCTTGCTATTCTCCTTTCCCCGTCAATGTTGGCTCCCCACTCCCTTCCCCTTGCCTCCTCTCCCATGACCCTCCTACCCCCTGAACCGTCGGTCCCATTGCTGTCTCCTTGGGATTGATTAGCCTGCCTATCTTATAGGTAGACACCAAAGAGAAAAGAGAGAGAACCATCAAATAGTTCCAAGTCTGAGTTGATGAGTAGCTCTCTGTTAAATAGTGAACAGGGCCTGATGTAATCCATCAGTCCCACCCCCTTTCTTTCAGGGATCCCTATCCCTAGACCCACTTGCCTGACAGCATTTATACCTGTTTTATCCTCAGCATCCATGTCTGAGGGGTGCACCTTCTGCAAATCCCATTGTGCTCTACTTGCAGTCAGGGATGCAATGGTCTAGTCCCCCTGCTCCCCTGTTACACCTTTAGACTCTCAATGTGGCCCCCTTGTGAGTAATCCTCAACCTATTCAGATGGGTTGCCAAGTGCTGCCCCAGTCAGAAGTCTAGAGTCAGGATTCCCCAGGGACTCCGTGGCTTCACTCCCATCACCGGCCTGTGGCACTGCCCTCTTGGTTTGCCCCCATGTCGGTGGGGCAGGCTGAACACTCTCCCTGACCAGTATCTTCAGTGCTGTCTGCTGCAGCACTGTCACCTAGGGGGAGGACGGCATGTCATGTCTTGAGCTGAGGCGGGCCGCCTTCTGCTCTGAGCAGAAATGTCGCCCTCAAGGCATTAGGCACTGGAATGAGGTCTCCCCTCTCCTTTTCCTGTGGAGACAGAAACAATACCCTCCCCTTGGGTGTCTTAGTGCCCTGTTCCCCCCTTGCCATCTTTTTCCTTCCCTGTCTGTGGGCTTAATGACATTTGAGAGGGGCTGGGGGGGAGATGGAGAAGCTAAATCTTTACTGGAGCAAACAGCCTTATCTTGCTCCTTTTGAGTTGCCAGTGGATGGTACAGCGCCAAAGAGCCTTAGATGTGTGCTCCCTAAATCAGTGATTCTCAAGCATGACCGAGTGTTGGAATCACCTGACTCAAACCCAAAACCCCAAAGCTCCCTGCCAGCAAGCCAATTCTGACTCTAGTGCCCTGATAGGACAGGGGAGTAGACCTTCCCTGGTGGGTTTCTGAGACTAAATCTTCATGGAAATAGAAATCCTCACCTTTCTCCCTGGAGTGGATGGTGGATTCACACTGCTAACCTGGTGGTTCGTAGACCACTAAGTAACCTACTATGCCTTCCCTGAAGAACATAAACATTTCCCACTGCCCCAGCTGTGCCCAGACCCAGGTGAATCCTACCTCAGAACTACACTTCAGTATTTTCAAGGAATTTCTCAGGTGATTAAGCCAGTGCTCACAGCTCACCTGGCGCTTTCTCCGCTCTTAGATACGCCTCCCCTCACTCTCGCTCTGCTGGGTCATCGTCAGCAGTGGCTTGCTGACCCTCTGGTGTGTCATTGACACGTCATGACTTGGACCCCCATCTCTTTCACCCAGCCCTCATTGTGCCTCTCAGCGTCTCACAGACAGCCTGGTTCCTGCGTTGTCTGAGTGTGTGGTTCTCAGGTACCCGCCCCTCCCCTCACCACACAGCCTTCACTTCCCAGGTGCCCGTCTCAGTCTTCTGCACAAGAAATGACTTCCAGCCGCTGCACTCTTCTGCCCAGTGTCTGGACACACAATCAGCTGTTCCTCTCTGGGAGCCCCTGTTAGGTGTCTGGGGTGGTTTATCCCAGTTCTTGCTTCGCAACGCTGAAAGAATTCACGCGTCAGAAGCACTTTCGTAAATCCAAGTAACTTTTGAGGGAAGGGAAAGCTTCAGGTATTAATTACAGTCTCAAAAGTATGCGCTATTTCCGGAACGTGTGTAAGGCTGCACGGGGATCGTGTGGGAGCTCAGGACTGAAGATGGCCACTCCAGGAGAGCACACAAACCACGTGAGAATACCGGAACACGAAACCACACGTGGAGAACAAGAGCAGGAACCCCCCAGAGGCCCAGAACCTGTGGCCGAGAGGGCCTGCAGGCACTTATGCCCCCTGCATGAGGAGAGATTTCCACCTGAAAGGGATGACCGCTGGGCCTGCTTTTATTCCCACCTTTCCCCCCTGGCTGGGAGGCGTGGTTGATGGTATTGGCTGGGTTTAGACATACCTGTGTGATGTCATCGCTGGCGCCCAGTCTGTGTGCCCAGGTGGGCTGAGGGGACGTGGGTCTGAGTATACTCAGTTCTGTCTTTTCCCACAGGTGTCTAATTAGTGTGCCTGATTTCTTTCCAACCCTCTTATTGTGGCCCGGACAGCTAGTTTTTGTTTAGAGTAGGAATTTGGTGGAGACATCCCCCTTTATCCCCGGTCTACTGACCTTTCATTCCCACCATGGTTGGGAATATATGTGCACATTGGAAGGGTGCTCATGGGTCTTGTGGGAAGAACAAAGCCCTAATAGCCGTCTTAGCCTAGCCAGCCATTGTTCACGAGCTAACATCTTCCTCTGGGTAATGTCAAGGCCGCCCTCTCCTCCCTCCCTGCCGGACTGCTGACGAGGAGAGCAGGGAGGAATCCTGTGCATGGTGAAGCCACATCTCCTGTGGGCTTCGGGCGATTTGTGCTTTTAATTTGAAATACTTTCAGAAGGTGCACACAAGTAGTGTACTTTCCTGTATTCTCATTCCAGTTTCTCCAGTGTT